TTAAGTACGTGGAGTGGATTTCTGCTTCCAAGCTAGCAGAAATTTATTAACCCAGAATATGTCTACATGTTCTGAATCAAAAAAGTCCCATTTTACTGGGCATTTTAATTATTTTTTTGAGGACAATAGCAGAATAAAGCTTAGAGCATGCTTTTCCCATGTAATTCACAACTAGATTTGCTTTCAGCTCTCTGCCGCTCCTGTGTTATGAAACTTTTTGTCTTTTTTTCAGCTGTTGTTTTTGCATTCTTGTGATTATATTCTGTTTTCCCTTATGTTGGAGCTCATCTACGATCTTAATTATCTGCCTCTCATTGCCAACTCTGTGAACTCTGCAGCTAATTTGAGGAGGAAAATTTTGCCTGGTAATTTTAAAAATATGAGGCATTATTGAGGGTTTTTCCTGGACCGGTGATTAGAACAAAAGTCTAGTTTGGAAGTGTAGCTTTGGACTCTTCCCGCTTGCTTAAATGAAGAGAATGAGAAGTGGGGGAAACCTGTTGTAATTAAAACTAAATGAGTAAATGAGAAAAGGACCTCCTTCTCCGCTCCCCAGCATGATTTCCTTAGAGTTTGGACTGAGTTTACAAGAAGCCCAGGAGGAGCAGTGCCTCTCTAATGATCCGCGTTAGCCGTGTCTCGTTTCTGTAGAAGTTCCCTGGTGAATTTGGGAGTCAGAGAGGCTGGGGCTGGGACCTGCTCCCTGCAGCAAGCAGCCCTCCGTGTGCCACGTGCTGCGTGAGATCTGTGTGTGCCTCACGGTTTTCCTTCCGGAAGAAAAAGATGTTGCAGGTGCAGCAAGAAAAAATAGCTACTTTTAAGAGAAAAGGGAAAAGAAATAAAAGAAATTGGGTTGTTTCCCATCGAGGGGACATGGCAGGCAGGAATTGGATGTGTACACGCACAGCTCTGTGCTTATGGACTCACATGGTTCAGCTTGGTTCAGGTGCTTTTAGCAAAGCATTGGCTGATGAATGCAGTGTTGGGCTCAAGTACGGTGCCGTGCTGAAACACTCGGGAGATTTGGGGAATAAATCTTTTATTCCGGCAGTTCCTTGCCTGGGCAGATGGTGGTGGACCTGCCCACGCTTCTGGTGGCTGCTACCAGGGGCTGAGCCTGGCTGAGCAGCCTGGTGATGCTCTCAGCCACCTCTCCCGATACCTTGCGTACAGCATGTAGGTCCCAAGCCTTGTCTTTGAAAACTGGAGGTAATGACAGGATTGGTTAAATGTGGGAAAAACCGCCAGGCCTGGGGCTGTGAGAGGAGAATTGGATCAAAGTGTAACTACTCCGTGGTGTTTCCAGATGAGTAGTCTATAAAACATGGGGTCTTGTAGTCTGTTCTGGGTATTTTTTTGGTGTGGTTTCTTTCTGTTTGTTTGTTTTTTTTTGTTTGTTTGGTTCTTTTTTTTTTTTTCTTCTGCTTTTTTTTTTTTTTTTACCCAGAGGAAAATGATATTAAAATAGAGTGCATAGAAGAGGAATAATATTATCTGAAGACCTGATAAGTTGTATTGTCCTAAGTAGGTCAAATGTGGGAAACTGGGTGGTCTAGCTCAAACTGCCACCAAGGGGAAGAAAGACTTCCCGTTCTTGAGAAAATGTAATACACGAGCGATGAAAAGGTCTAGGGGGATGATGGAGGAATGCGCTTAAGAGAAAAGGATGAAATAGTGGACAAGAAAAATGTGAATAGTGTCAAGAGAGATTTTTGGGAGGAGAAGTTCTTCTTTGGAACAGGCTCTCATGAGAGAGTCCCTCATTCTTGGGCCATTCAGAAAAGGCTGAAGAAGGAAAAGGCAGGGAACAGTGCATTGGACGGGAGAGGGCTTTGGTCAAATTGGCAGGTCCCGGGGCCATAAATTTTAGGGAAATTGTTAAAGTGTGAATATGGCCTACATTTTTTGGGAATGCTTTCAAAGGGCTTTGCTGTTCCTTCTCCTCTATAGCCATTTGTGGGGTTGGAACAAGGCGGACCTGGCATCCAAAGCCTCCCAGGCACCCTGTGGGGCTGAAGGGCCTTCTCAACGAGGGGGAGGCAGGTTTGTAGGGAATCCTTCATACGATATCTCCAGCCCAGCTCAGATCACTCTTGCTTCTACTGTCTGTGGAAAACTTCTCCTGTTAAACTGCAATCCAAATTCATTTAATGTTTGGAGAACGTGACTATAAAATTGGTTCAAATGCTTCGCTTTCCTCAAGCCATCAGTAAAACAGGAACGTAAATCATTTTCAAAAAATATCGCCTTGTGGTGTGTCCTTGGTGACTGAGGAGCTGAAAAGTGGGGTCGGTGGGTTCAGCTCTGAGCCTGGGGGGACACATACATGACCCCACCTGGGGACTTCTGCCTCTCCCACCACCCGGTGACGGCCTGAGGAGAATTTGGTCACTCCATGAGGAGAATTTGGTCACGCCATGGGGAGAAGTTTTGTCACGAGGTGAACAGGCCCCGGGGGAGGCCCTGTGGTGTTGGGGGAGGACGGCAGGGCCGCGCTGGAAGTGGAGCCCCATGAGGGTTGACTTGTTGGCCTTCCGAAAGAAATGTGTGACGAGGGTGGGGTGAGCAGGGAGGAACTCTGCTCGCTGCCATTAGAAAGCTCAGTCGGAGGGAAGAGGGAAAGTGATTTCAGCTGAACTGAATTGCTGTGGCGTAGTCCTAGCAGAAAGCTTCAAAATCTGGTGCTAAAATAGCTGATTGGTTTCAGACCGGCCTTCTGCTCCTGATGAACTTCTTTCTGAGCTTCCAGTAAGTCCAGGAGGTCTTGCGTAGCTTGGGGAGATGGCAGCTTATGCGTGTTCAGTAATGAGGAGTTAATTACTTGCTGACTGCCATGAGATGTTGCGTAAAGTCACTCATGGTGGCTGGCATGAGCGGCCCTCAGCGGTGCTCGGGGTGACCTTCTGTGAGCTCTTGGTGCTGGACATTAAGGGATTAGGGGTTAAGGGGAAAAAAGGACTCTGGTTTTGAGTTCGCATCACAAGTTTACCAGCAGTAGGCTGCCCTAAATTAGCGAGTAGCCTCAATCCAGAGTCGCAGCGATGCTACCAGAGAGGAGTTGCTGCCATGCTCAGGACGGAGATGACCAGGGTTCTTCCTCCACTTGTGTAGGTTTTGAGAGGTGAGGCAGAACAAGATTTAATTAATATCTAAAGTCAGCACACCTTGTGTCCAGGTTCTCCAAACGAGGCTGCTGCTTAGCTTGCTAGAAATTGTAGCAATCCTCCTCATTCTGGGCTTAATCTGTAAATTGCTGACTTCTGGCTCGCGGCCCTTCCCTTTCTAGGGGGAAATAGAAGAAAGGCCAACTTTTGAGAAAATCAGGAAGACATGCAGCATGGTATGGGAAAAGCTGGTTCCCAGATTTTCTGAAAAGCGTTCAGTTTAAAATGTCAGATTGCTTGTAAATTCAAGCTGGTGCTTAACCTGATTGCTGGGGAAAGGCTCTGCTCTGTACCCAGTATGGAGTTGTCCCTTACTGGGGTTTTGACCCCAGTGATGTTGGGATGGATGTGCCCTGTGTGGGCTGGGGATTGCTCTCCCCGTGCACCAGCTGTGCTCGGTGTCAATATTCCCCTCAATATCCAGCTACATTAAAAACTACAGCTCAGAGGTAGTAGAAATGCATATAATGTGTGTTTTTGGTTAAATTTTAGCACCACTGAGGACAGCAGTCCCACGTGGTGTAGCTGCTGGGCAGACCAGCGAGGCAAAATTTGTGCTTAAGCCTCAAGCTCTGAACTGTGGAAGAAAAGGAGCAAGTTGGGCTAAAACCCTGCAAAGGCTAATAGCAGAAATTTTCAAAGTCTCCTTTAGCTGAGGGCTTTTTAAGGCAGCCTGGTTGTATAATGACAGAGGAGCTGGAGAATCGTTCAGTTGGCATGGGATTTTCTTATTTATTTATTTATTTATTTTCTTGGTAGAAGAGGTTGATGTCTGGGGCCTTTCTCGGGCAGGTGATATTTGTTGTTGTGTTTTGTTTGTTTTGTGAATTCCAAATGAGATTTTGGCTCCTACCAGTTCAAAGCAAGGCTTTGTCCCTTCTCTGAAGTGTTTATAATCCAATTTCAGACATAAAACAGGGCGGGCGTGGGGGAGGGAGGAACAGGCAGGGATAAAACAGCAAGGTTTTACATAGCCTAGGGGACCTGGGCGGTAGGCGGACGTCTGAACGGTTCAGCAGGTAGATGGCATTTGAGGATCCTCTCGGTTGCTTTGCCGTGCCTGGGCGGGGATGCTCAGATGTAGCTCGGGTTGGTAAAACCAAACCACCTACAAAGGAGCGGCTTCAACCACCAGCCACGTGGCCGGGCCCCCTCTGCCCTGCTGGGTGTAGGTGGGCAGTGCTCGTGGAGGGGAGCTTGGGTGTTTGGGTTTTGGGAGTAACCGGCTCTCATCTGGAGCCTCAGACCCCATGCGGGGTGAGGCACGGTAAAAATGGGAGAGGAAGAGCTCAAAAAAAATCTACTTTTTTCTTCATATGCTGACTACTCTAATAAAATTGATACTACCCACACAAGTATGTTTCTGTTAAATTCTCTGACGCGTGGGGCTTTGCATCATTCTGCACCTGGGAGCCAGGGCTAGAATTTCTGCCACTCCTTCTGGCATTGTTTGTCCCCTCTTTATATTTTCTGCAGTAGAAATCTGGTTGTTTCACTGTCCCCATGGTTAAGTAAATCTGATGTTTGTCCGTGTTATGGTTTGGTAGAGAAGTGGGTTGATGCTGGCACCAATGTGCCAAATATGCCCAGTGATACTGGAAAATGGATCCAGAAATGCTCACCAGATACTCAGGTACCTGGACACTTGTTTTTTTTTCACTCAGTGTTTACTGTAAAATTCTTTTTCATCAGGTATGTGGATTATTTAGCAGGAAAATGTTACACAGGTATGCAGGAGGAAAGTGTGATTCGCATCTTTGATGCGGTGTGTTTTATGTGTAATTCAGCGATTAGTGCGAAGGCTGCCTAATTGAATTCGTCTGCTCTGTTTTCCAGGGTGCCCAAGAAACCTTTGAGAACTACTACAGGAAGCAGAGAAGAAAACAAGCCAGATTGGTCCTGCAGCCTCCTTCCAACATGGTACGATCGTCCCCTGCCTTCAGTGGTCAGGGCTGCTCCGCCTAATAAAGGAGCTGAGGGTTGTCTCTGTGCACATTGTTCCTTGTGGGTGGTCTCTTATTTGTTTCCCTTTTTGCTGTCCTTCTTTGTTTTAATTTTTGCTCACTTTTTTCTTTTCTTTTTTTTTTTCAGCATGAAACTTTAGATGGCTACAGGAAGTATTTTAATCAAATTGTAGGGTAGGTATCCTTTTTTATACACACGCTTGCTAAATATGTGTGCACTGTGTTGCTGAGTAGCCCAGAAAGAAAGGGAGAGGAGGAAATACTGATTTTTTTTTGACAGCCCTTCAAGGGAGCCCAACCAGGAAAAGAGCTTGGTGAACTTTGCTGTGTCGCTGGTGTGAGCGCTGAGGAACCTGTCAGCTCTTGCACCAGCAAGCACATTTCTGGGAATTTGAGGGAAAATAGGCTCTGTGGACTATGTGCAGCTACTTGCCCCACTAATGAGGTGAATAGGCCCTCTGCCTTAATTATTCTTTAATATTTGATAATTATTTTCTTATTTTCGTGCTAAAGGAGGTGATTCTCAAGTGACTGTTTTGCCTCTGTTCCTATGAACTTCTTATTGCAGTCAAATGTGACACAAGTCATCCAAAACCAGCTGAGGTCTCAGTGGAGACAACCTAAGACCGTTGATCTAGAAAAAAGAGGGTACGAGGTTGAAATTTCTTCAGGAAAGACTGATGATAATCATTTCAGCTTGTAATTGTGACCCTTGTGAGCTCAGTGTGTGCTGCCGACCTCCTAACACAGCTTCGGGTTCCTGGGCTGGGTTTTCCCTACTAAACAGCTGAGGTTTTGTGCAGTAGTGTTTAATATGTTTTTTTGTGACGCTCGCTCCCTGAAACACGCTGCTGCTTTTTGAGCAGCCTGTTTGATAAATGGGCACTGGAGTGAACTGATTGCCTCTAAATGGTTGGGAGCGCGCGGTGTCTCGGGGCGCGAGGGAGTGTTTTCCCTGCAGTGAAGGTGTTTTCCCTGCAGTTAACCAATTGTAACACGATTGCTGCTGGCTGGGGCAGAGTTTAATCAGCGGTTCTTGTTCAAATAACAGGGTGGAGAAGTTCTGCCTTTGTGTATACACAGAGATGCAGCACCAGGAATAACCAGACTTTGGCTCACTGCTATAACGCAGCGAAACATCATAGAAAATAGCGCGTTGTTAAAAATAGGCGAAGAAAATATTGAGTGTTGTCTATATTTGGAACAAATACTGCACATCTGAGCTTGCTCTGGAGATTTGTGCAAGTGCAAATTCTGCACGTCCCTCACATACAGTGTTTGCAGATCTCCCCTTATGTCTCGAAACCTGTAACTTTCGATAACAATGCCATTTTCTCCCCTCCGCTAGGTTTTTTGTAGTTGAAGATCACATCTTGCATACGACGCAGGGCTTGGTAAATAGAGCCTATATTGATGAGCTGTGGGAGATGGCGTTATCAAAAACCATTGCAGCGCTAAGGACGCATTCAGTAAGTAAAAGCCCCAGATTGTTCAGCTGTTGCTTGAGTTTGGCTTGACATGCTGGAAATACTGGCTTTTACAGTAGTTTTCTTTGTTTTGCCTCTTTGCCAATGACTCTTTTTTAAACAATAGAGGGAAGATACAGTGCTATTTCCCCAAAAGGTTTCTTTGGCTTTTTTGGACTCTTGATGCACTGCATTTTCCTTCTGCCAAGCTTGCAATATTTTGGGGGACTGGAAATAAGAAAGCAGTGGTTCAGTATTTTCCGTTACTCGGCTCCTCACTTTTGCAAAGCACCAGCAGAGGGAGTTGGTTTGTCCTGGAATACTGGGGAAAAAAGTGTCGGTATTTGGCACGCTCAACCATGACCCTGTTAGATATTCCTTTAAAATTAATGGCAGTGAATGGATTGCTATCAAACTATAAATCATTGTGCTCGAAAAGACACTAACTAGCTTTTTTATTCTTTAATACTGAAAGACATTTGGAAAAATTACTTATCACTTTGGTATTTCTCTGCTTGAGCAAAGAAAAAAACCCTAAAATAATAATAATAATAACAAAAAACAAAGCCAACTGCAAAAAATGTACAGTTCTCCTCCAGTTTTGCATGACCTGATATCAAGTTGCACTGTTTCAGCTGGGAACACTTGAATGTTTTGCTGTTTCATAGCTTACTGAAAAGTCACCCCATTGGTTAACGGGATGAAAAAATTGCGTTTGGCCATAAAAGAAAAACTGCTAATGACTTTCCCTAAGTCTCTTTTCAAATTGTTGGGACATTTTCTCCAGAAAAACAAGATACTAAATCATCAAAATCCCATTGTTGCTCCTGGGACGGCAGCACCATCTGAAAGCAAGAGGATGCTGCGGGGTCGTGGTGTTGCAGACGTGCAGCTAACGTGGCATGGGATGCCCGTGGTACCTAAGCAGTACAGTGTCGCTGTTGTCTGCCCAGAAAAACTTAAAATTTCTATGTGGAGGCACAATGTACTGCTTCCTCAAACCACGCTGAGTTTTACATTTACGTGCCCTTGACCTTGGCTTTACCAGGGCAGGTGGGAGTGCTGTGGGCTACAGACCCAGAGCTCATGGGGTGAGCAACCACTGAGGCTTCCCGGGAAGCTCTGGTTTTGTATGGCACAGCACTTCTGGTGACTGGAATGCCACCTCCTTCCTCTAAGGCTTCCATCTTACAGAAGGGGATGAGCACAGAGGTGTAGTTTATTTTTTAGAAGAATTTTCTGCTGGCATAATAGCCACGAGAGGAAAACGAGCACAAACATTCTGTTTGTCAGTTTTACCAGCTTCGTTGCCACGACCAGTTGTTTGAAGTGATGCCAGACTTACAGCACAAAGTGGCCGCCAGATTTTTTTTTTCCAGTAATCATACAATTAGCCACAATTTCTCAATGCTGTCCTTGTGGTCACCACTGACATCTCCATAGACCAGTGCCGTCCATCCCATGTTGCTGTTGAGACTGGATGGAAGGCTGTCAGCTGGTGAGGCTGTTCCACTTCTTCCCACTCCGCCAAACTTGTGCCTGGATTTTCTTCCTTGCTGTAGACTGGGACATCTTTTATCACTTCTGATAGCTTTAGGGCATTATCTTTCTTTCTGACTTTCTTTTTTGGACAGTGGAATGGAAAATGTGTCTCTTCCAGTCTTTCACATTGATTAATGGAGTCATTCCTCCTTGAGTTTCCAGTGAACTTTAAATCTCAGTTTCTTTTTCCAGCGTATGATCGCTGATTCTATATTTGGTAAGAGTCTGTCTGAAACTTTGCATATTTCAGCATATTTCAGTGAGGTTTTCTGCTGGTGTGCAGATAGGGTACGACTTGTGGGTGATGTAAGGTGTCTCCGGGGTGATGCTCAGGGCTGTCGCGGGGGGTGCAGTGGTGTCTCTTGAGCTTCAAGCAGTGTCCTGACCCGCAATAAATACTTGTGCTGTAGCTCGGACTGTTAATGTTGCTGAAACATAGGCATGCAACGTGTTTTTCCTCAGCCTGAACTTTCCACTTAGCAATGCAGCCTTCACATGGGGCTTGGGGATGCCTCCCTGCAATGCTTCATTACCGTTAGACACAACACACTAAATATTACATGAGGTGCTGCTGTCTTCTTGGCATGACAGTGCGCTGATTTGCTTCATCTCCTCTCGCTTCCCCAGCAGCTCCTGGGTAATCTTAGAAACACTTCAGGTATCTCTAGAGCAACCGAGATCCTTATTCATCATGGAGAGCCTCAAGAGCAGTGCGTTACAAGGAGAGATACCCTTATCAGCGTGCCTTCCCCTGCCCTGTAAGACGTTAAGGCATGGGCTGCATGATAAAGGCAGCTGATCCTAAGAGTGAATGGTGTGTCTACGTATTATCGCTCGAGCGATAACTCAGGAGGACTGAGGGCAATATTTTCCTGCGTGCTGTGGTTAAAAACGTGTTTTTATTTCCCCCTTATTTGCAGTCCTATTGCTCGGACCCGAGCCTGGTGTTAGACTTGAAGAACCTCATCGTCCTCTTTGCAGACACACTCCAGGTAGGTGGCTGTGGTCTGGCAATCTCAGCGCCCACTGGCAGCCCACGGGCTGGTCTGCTCCGCAGGCAAGGACCAAGAATCAGCTGCCATGCTGAGCACCCACGCTGAGCACAGCCCAGCTTGTCGGGGAACTAAGCCTTTAATCTCCCTTGGTGCTACCGCCTCAGTAAATCACCCCCTAAACCCTTCTGCCTTCGCTGTGCACGTTTGCAGTTGTACTGGGGGAGAATTTGCTCATGTGCTCCCTATTAAGTGCAGAAAATGCTGTTCAGCGCCCTGCTGGTGACTTGTTCTTATCTGATGTAGTCGCTCTCTTCCTCTGCTCCACTGCAGGGATATGGCTTCCCAGTGAACCAGCTCTTTGACATGCTGCTGGAGATCCAAGACCAGTATAGTGAAACCCTGCTGAAGAAATGGACAGGAGTTTTCAGGTACGAAGCAGTTTAAGCCAACTCGTGAGATGTACCTTACAAAGCAGTTTTAAGCAATAAATAAAAATCTTACATTAAAAAAGAGACTAGCAAGTTCATGCCTAAATTTTGGGCAGTGGTAAACTTCAGTCTGGGCTCTCCTTGGACCAGGGAAAGCCCGTTACAGTTGTGGGGATCATGCGTGCAGTAAGATTTGTGCAGTAAATCCATGCACTCCAGAGGTTTAACATCTTAGAGAGGCAAGGTTTTAGTTTCATTATTGAGCCCACTTGACAATCAGTAGGTGAATGGATGCAAAAAGCATGTGCTGCAACTTTTTGGGGTCACATTTTAGACTGGCGTGTATTTATGAAGAGCCTCGTAGCTAGTAGCAAATCTGAAAAATTGTGCTTGGTCTGTCTCACAGAGCATTGGCTTCTGTGCTGAAGAGATCAATGATGTTTCTGTTTGCAGGAAGGGTTCCTGTACCTGCATTTCTAACTTTTTTCCTTTTCCAGAAATATACTTGATTCAGATAACTACAGTCCCATCCCGGTGACAAATGAAGAGATGTATAAGAAAATAGTTGGACAGTTCCCATTCCAGGATGCAGAACTTGAAAAGGTAAACTTAATCGAGGAAACCAGCATGGCACGTCTCCTGATGCACTAAAACCCCACACCTTGTTTGCTGGCATGGAGAACTAGAAATTAAAAGGTCAAAAACCCACAAAACCAAACAAACAAAAAGAGAAAAGAACAAATATACTTTCCATGTGTTGCATTTCTTCTGGCATGGGGGAGGAATACCTCATCAATTTTGTTTTCAGATCACAATGTACTATTGCAGTTCAGCATTGCTTGCAGTAGATGGGGGAGAGACAAAAAATCTGCTTCCATTGGTATTTTAGTCCCATTTTTTGAACCATGCTATTGACCTTTTTTTTTTTGTTGTTTTAATCTAATAGTTAAAAAAGAAAAGACATCAGCCCAACAGAAAACAGAAGGTGGTATATCTTGGCTTTTGTAAAAGTGCGTGCTTGCAAAACCCAACAGTGTAGCCAAATTTGACCTAGCCAGTGTCCCTTAAAAGCATGCTTGGCCTTGTGCTCCACATCTGGCAGCCAGCGAGCTGCGAGCCTGGCGAACTTAATTATGACTGGGAGGGCTTTCGATCCAAGTCAAGTGTTTAGATTTCAGAAAGTCTGTGTCCTTCCCTAAAACTGTGTCATGGGATCCAGGTTCTTACTGTTAGGCTCTGCAGCTCCCAGCCGTGTCTGTGCTGTGGGTAAAAGCTGGCTCGTAAAAATTTGGTTCAAGGGAGAGGACATCTGTTTCGTCTGGGCTTTTGGTGTGGTAAGCAAGTGCTCACCTTGGGCAGTAACTGGGGAGGTGACCAAGCAAAACGCCTTGCACGTGGTGGGAAATAAAGGAATTCTCTGACAGGGTTTTGTCATACGAGTAAGGGAGTTGGGAAAGGGAACGAGAGGAGCTTTGTGCTGCCTGCTCCCTTCTAGCTACAAGTCTCCTTCCAGCCCATTTCAGACTCCAAATCCCTTATGCACCCATGTGCCATTTGTAAGTGATTATCTGGTCTTTCACTTGGCTGAAATGTTTATATAATATACAATAAATGCTGGCTTGTTGTTTCATTGCTGGACTTAGCTAAATATTAGAATTAATTTGGCTGCTTGGAACATGTTGCTGGAAAGCAGTCGTCACTCCGGGCTGGCTGTGAGAGCGATTCTCCCTCTTAAAGATCTGCTCTTTGACTTCAATTCTCTCCTGTATTTTACAGCAACCATTTCCAAAGAAGTTCCCCTTTTCTGAGTTTGTGCCTAAAGTTTACAATCAGATTAAGGAATTCATCTACGCCTGTCTGAAGTTTTCAGAAGACCTTCACCTGAGGTATGGGACAATTGTGCTACTGGCTGTGATATGGAAGTGTTGTTGGCACTGAAGGATCTCAGCATGGTTAAAATATGAATTCTCTTCCTAAACCACCCATGCCACTTAGTTGCTTGGATATACGTTGTCCAGGTTGGAGGTGGCTGCTGCTCTCCTTGGAGCGGTGGCATCTTTTTTGTACAAAGGGCTGGCTAAGTCTTAAAATAAATACATAGATAAATAAATAGATAGATAAATAAATAAATAAATAAAAAGCCTCATGCTAGGTCAATAAAGTAAGAGAGGGCCTTTCCCTCTGAGACATTTCCGAGTCACTCGTATTGAATGGATGGATCTGGTTGTCCCAAGGAAGATCGTGGTGTCCGCCTGCCATCAGGTTGGCGCCTGGCACCGTGTCTGCAGCTTCCCCAGCCTGTCCCTCAAGGAGCATTGGTGACAAAACTCAAGGTTTTCATTTGCCCTCTGTGTTAGTGAATGTTGGCTTCTGGTTTGGGGGTTTTGATTGTTCTTATTTCCCACGGGAGATTATCGATAAATCAGATTATTTGTACATATATATTTTTTTTAAACCTTAAAAATATTTTGTTTACCATCCTTTCTGCATCCCAAGGCTCCCAGATGCTGGTTTTGCTTCTGTGTGTGTGGAAGACAGCTATATTAGCCAGGAACTGCAAGTTGCTGCTCTCTTTTTACACCCAGTAATGTTTTTACCTTGGTAGAAGTATATAAATAAATATTGAGAGCCTTCTCCCCTCTGACTGTTGGTAGAGCTGCACCAGGCTGTACGTGGAGTTTCGCCTCTCCGGGCAGCTTCATGGCCTGACAGCAAATACTGCCCCCATGCTAATGTGAAGGTAGGGCTGTAATTTAGGGACTCACCAGATATTTTGGTGCCTACACAAGGCTCTTTGAGGTTTCAATATCTTCTTTGGGAGAGGGGTGGTAATTTTGAGAGCCACTTTCTCTCCATCCTCTCCGGGACGTGGCAGCTGTTAGCTGGGGTGGAAGCACGGGACTTTTTTTCCCCCCTTCAGCTTCAGCCTTTCACTGGTGGCAGGTTGTTCTCTTCGGTGCCTCCCAAGGCTCTTAACCCATGGGTCACCATGAAATGTCTCGGTTTCTGAAGCCGCCGGAATGGTCCGATTTCACACGGCTGCTGGTTTCACCGAGCCCCTCCGTTGGCACTTCCCTTGTGACTTTTGTGCCCTTCACCATTACGGAGGTGATTGGGTTTGTCAGGGAATGGCAGAAAAGTGTTCCCTTGGGGCCCTGCTCTGGGGTCCCCCCAGACAAGTTATTAAAATTCCTTTCGACATTGGATTTTCCAGCCCTTTTCGAGGAGTGGTTTGGGGCTGGGGGAGGGGAGCCGAGCTCTTGGCTTTTCTAGCCAAACATTTGGAATATTTCTCTGAAAACCCCTGTTGACACTTTCTTCATTTCACCCTGACAGCTTGAATTAGGTTTTATTAGGAAGCTTGGCTACAAAGCCGGCAGCAAGTTTTCTTTCTCTTCTCTTTCTTGTTCTTCTTTGGTTGTCATTTACCTTGCACCCTGGAGTGATTGGGGTCAGCCCGTCAGTCACGGGAGGCCTGAAGGTCATGACTACTGCTATGGGATATGGGACATCAGCTGTCACCAGCCCAGACAGTTTGCTTAACTACTCCGCGGTCTTTTCCTGAAGAACAGAGCCCATGGCAGAAAAACGGAGCTCGTGTTTTTTCTAATTATTATTTTAAACCAGCTCCCTGTGTTTGTTGGACGGGAGCGTTCTCCTTTATGCTGATACGCTTCTGAGACTTGTTTTGCTTTTTGAAGGATTTGAAGAAAATTTGGAGCTCACCGCGCGTTTACGGGGGTTGCGAATTCTTTTGGTTTGGCTCTATTAATTTGATTAGGAGAAAGAAAACCTCCTTTATCCTGTCAACAGTTCTCCCGTTGGTAAAAAGCGCGTCTTGGAGCCCATTGAGGAGACGGCTTTAAAAGCATCCACTTGCTGGAAGGCTTCCACCGCTTCCAGTGGAATTTCCCATTTTAAAGATTGGGGATATCTTCGGCAAGCAGCGGCTGGAAGTGGGAGATGTCAGCTCTAATCTACCAGGGCTCTGATTGTTTTTCTCCCAAACAAAGCAGCAGTCCCGAAAGCACTTAGGGTACAATTCTGAAAGCGCTGAGAATAACTTAGCTAATAAAGTTGTTCATAATGATGATGAAATGGGGCAAATACTCAGAGCAAGCAGCCTGCGTGAAAAGTATTGCTTGTTTGGGGGGTTTGCTTTCTTTTTGCTTATTGAGAATGGAAATCTGGCTTTTCTGTTGAACCCAGAATTATCCTCTTGGAGATACCAGCATTGCCTCGGCTCGGGGGCTGCTCTTGTTGCCACCTCATTGCACCTTTTCTCTCGAAACAAGGGGCACGCTCCAGTGCCTGGTCAAATCCCTCTCTGGATATGATCAGGTGTTTTCCAAGGAGCGTTCCTGAGTTTTTTTTCTTGGTGTGTGGGCACCTCCTGGGAGATGTCAGCTCTGCTGGCACCCAGGGATTGCCTGGCTGCTCTCCCCGGCATAAACCTTCAATTTAGACTTTATTTTCTAGATAATGTGGCCAACTAACAAAATGATAGCAGGAAGCCTGGGGAAGCAGTACTTGTGCGCAGAGAAAACTCGGTTAGAAGTGCTTTGAAGAGGTAAATGCAGCTTGGAAGTGCTAAGTAGTGTTATTAAGCCCTGCTCGTCTGTGCCCTGGAGGCTTGCAGGCTGAGATGGCGCTGCCGATTCCTTCGAGTGAAGTCAGGGATGGAAACAAAGCCTCCAGAGAGAGGTGAGAGCTGACAATGCCCAAAACCACTCGTTTTTCATCTCCTGGGAAGGCAGCATCCAGAATAACCAACTGGCCGCTGTGTTCTGCACCCCTGGCAGTGGTAGCACAGCCTCCTGCCACCAGCTTCTCCTTCAGCCTCGGCCCATCGCAGCCTCCTGCGCTTCCCAAATCCTCAGGGACTTTGTGAGTCCCCAGTTCCCTGATTTCCCAGTACAGATTTATTTTTTTTTTGGCCCCTTGTGAGCCGGGGGGCTTTGAAGTTCCCCCTCAACACCTCCTTGCTGTTCTCCAGCTTGTTCCCACCCTGTGCTGGCAACACCAAGTGCCACGAGGTCCCCTTGTGCCATGTCCTTTAAGTCTCTCGTGCCTTTTTACCGTCTGTGGATCATCACGGCGTTAGGTTTTATCGTCCTTGCTAGATTTAACCGTGCTGTTGTCTGGTGGAAGGGACCGGAGACAATCTGGGTTTCTCTTCCCCCCACATCCTGCTCCACCCTTTCAAAAACCCCAAAGCAACACCTTGGACCTCGCATCACAGAGGAGCCCTGGGATGGGAGGTGTGATGTGGGCTATCCCTGACCACCACAGGCTCTTCCCTGCTAACCAGGAGCAAAATAAACTCCCGGGGATTGTTGGTGATGATCTAGAAGAGACCCCTGCTAAGACTTGGGCTGGTGACATTGAGTTTAGGATCCAGAAGCTGGATCCCACCGAGCTGCTGTTCCTGCTCTGATAGTGGCTGGTGGGTATCAGGAGCAGGGCTTGAAAAGCAGCCTTTTAAACATCAGAGAAAAGGAAATAGTAAGGAAACTAGAAAATAGAAAAGGAAATAAGTAAGGCTCGGGTGCTGCTGGCCCTGGGCTGGGCTCAGTGTGCCCGGTCTGACATTAAACACACGCAGGATTTTGGAGCCGTGTGCCCTGCTCCGGGGGCACCCCCAGTGGCAACGCCCCCAGCTCCGCGCTGCCGGTGGGGTAACTGAAGGTTTGCTTTTGTTTCTCCTCTTGATCCCTGCTTTGTAATCTGGCCCATTTGTCAGGTAGAACAGGATAAGGAGCAAAAGGTCGCGGGGTTGATTTACCGGGAGCCTGAAAGTTATTAATGTTTCTCAGCCTTTGCAGTTGGAAATTTTCTTTGCCGTCAGCTGCCTGTCACTGCGCTGCCAGAGATAAAGCCCCGTTGTGTCAGGGCTAATGCAGGGCCAACGACAGATCAAAGGAGCCTGCGTCGGGGCCGGCTTCCAAACCCTCCTTCAAAAAGCAGAGGTTGCACCTTGCCGTTTGGAGGGGCAAGGCGGCGTCCCTGCAGCAAAAAGCAGCGAGGCAAACCCCTGCGTTGAGCAATCCTGCAGCTGCAATTGCCTGGCAGAGGCCACGAGGATGTTACAATCTGATTTAGTTGAGAAATTAATAAATAAATAAAAAAGGCAAGCGAGCTGTTTCATTTCTCTCCCCACCCTGGTGCGGGTTTTGATCTGAATTTGGAAAATTTCAGCTTTGTGCAAGGAGGAGCATCTCAGCTGAATGTCTTCATGCTAACACCGTGGGTGACTCTTCCCCTGGTGTCACCCCTGGACCAGGCAGGGATGTAGGTTTGCCCCATTAGTCTGCCTTTACATCCTAAAATACCAGAAATTTAGGTCTTTTTGTGCACGTGTCTGCATCAGTACGTCGGTGCCCATGGGCGATGTACAGATGATCAGGCATAAGCCACCCAAGGGTTGGAGAGCAGACCGGGTGGTGAGGTCTCCGTGTTTCTTTTTTTGCCTTGCGATAAAGCATTTTGCAAATCTCTCTTTAATTTCTCCTTTCCAGCTCCACGGAAGTCGATGATATGATTAGAAAATCGACGAATCTGCTGCTGACCCGAACGCTGAGCAACTGTTTACAGAACGTCATCAAGAGGAAAAACGTAGGGCTGACAGAGGTAAGACTCGGAGCCGAGCACACCAATTTCCAGGGCAGGGCACAAGAGTGGGGTTTGGTCCCTTGGAGCTCACTCCAGCACCTTTTAGAGGTGCTGGTTTGGAGCATTTCTGTGAAATATTTGGTTGGAGAATGATAAAGGAGCTAGGCAGCAGTGCTGTGCAAAGCAAGAAAGACTTTGTACTTAGAGAAGGAGGAAGCTTTTATTAGAATTGCCCCCCTTTTGGATTTTTGTAGCATATATCTGGGTTGAAGTGGCAGGAGAGAGGACTTCAGGGGGTGTTGGGTTGGTTTTAATGCCAGAGCTGTGAGAGGATAGGGACTGGTCTCCACCTAAAGATGTTCGAGGCAGTTCCAGCACATTGATATATGCAGCATGAACTCTGTACTGGCATTTTCTTTTCAAGATTGGTACTTTTCTGTGCACAAAGCCAGATTTCTGAGAAGTTCAAGTCATGGAAGTCACAACTGTTTGGGAAGGTGTGTGGTACCCAGGCCAGGTTGGATCCCTTAGTGGGACCTCTGTGTGCTGTTGGGAACCGAGCAGGTATTAGTACAGCTGCAGATCTTTAATTATCTGTGCTATAGGAACAGGTAACGTTCTCTGGACACCATAAATACCCCATATGGGGGAATTTCAGAGTTCAGTGCATTTTGGCCATCTGTAGTTGCACAGGGTGCATCCTCAGACCTTTATCTCTGGAATCTCTCTGCTCCCTGGGGGCAAATTCCTCCTCTGTCCTGCTCGTCCAGGGGCTCCCTCCACGAAGAGGAATGCGACGCTGTGCCTTGCACTGTCCATCCCCCAAATGCTCCTTTTGCTGCTGCTGCAAACAGTGGCCACCGTGGGATTGAGGGCGAACTGGGTGACTCCTCTTAGCTGCTTTTGCCCAGTTTAGACGGCGTGGATGTGTGCGGTACCTGGAGGTGATGCCTTGCTTTGGGCTGAGAGCGGCTTCTTCATCTGTGTCGGAGGCAAGGAGGGTTTTTGTGAGAAAATAGGATTTGGACTCGATGATCCGTATAGGTCCCTTCCAACTTGAGATATTCTGTGATTCGATGACTCTGGTGTTCATCTCTGAATCTCTCCTCATACTTGTTAAGAGAGTTTCACCCTCTTCCCTACCACTTCCCAAGGTACCACTAACCTTCTCCCTGCGTTGTCTCTGCCCAATTTTTCCTAATTTAATTGAAGAAAAGATACTTTGAGCATCTTTATTCCCTCCTGCCTCTTTTCTTTGCATAACCATTGACTTCTTTGTCCAACTGGAAGCACGCTGTGATTTTCCTCCGAGCTTCTCAAATCCTTCCCTATTTAGACAAGATGAGACACAGACGTGGCTGCGTGGAGCACTGGAAGCAGAGGGCAATTTGGAGAGTCAGAGATCGTATGAAAGCATAGGCGTGGTGTCAAAAGTGACTTCAAAAGATATTCAAGTCCCTAGCACAACTATTGCTTCCCAGATTTAATTTTATTACACAAAGCAACACTATCTGTTCCTGGGTGCTCCAGTTTCTTCTTCCAAGCCATGGGTAAGGTAATGCAAGACCTTGTACCAACCATCATGGTCTGTTAACCTCTTTAATTAATTTTTCATAAACGTGCACTTGGAATGGGAAGGAATTGATCTAGCAGGGCGTAGTGGCACACGCTGCTAAAGATGCCCAGACCACTGCCCAACCTGTGAATTCCTAATTACATGAAATGAGACGCAGCATCTCCACCTGGTAGCCTGAATTAACCACCAGGGACTGCTCTCAAGAGATGAAAAAAAATGAATTGCAGAAACCAGAACTCCTGCTGCAGGAGACGTCAGTCTCAGTGCGCAGCAAGCTTTCAGCTGAGCAGCAAATTTTCCTTTTCTCTGCGTTTTCAACGACCTTGACACCCCTTAACAAAAGGGCAGGGAAAGACGATACTGTTTTTTCTGGTTTTCATTTGAATACTCGAGCAAGGAGGTGTTACCCCTCCGAGTTCACGAGAAAATGGGAACATGAAGGAAGCGGGGTGGGAGCAGGAAAGCTCATAACCAGCGGTGGAAGAGGATCAAAGCAGGGCCTCCGAGTCTGATGGCTGATCTGAACCAATAAATGGTGGTGACCAGAGAAGAGGGTTAGGAGGAATTTCACACAGTTGGAAATATTTAATATTTAATTAAGTTGAAACTATAGGAAAATACATCACGATTGTGACGTAAGGGCTGACATAAGGAAAAGCAAATAAATGAGGACTTTTTAGAAGGCAAAAAATCAAGAACAGAATTAACCCAAGGAATTCAGAACTGAGAAGCCCTCCTAGTTATGTGTGTAATGCTTTCCAGGGACCAAGTACAAAACAGGAGGATTTCAGAAAGATTGTAATTTGATTTTGTAAAGGAAAAAGCTGGCTGAAATCACAGAAGCACTGGCTGGAACGGACTTACAGAGGTCTCTAGTCTGACCTTCTCCTGTATTATTGCCAAACCTGGGTCACGTCAGCCCTGTCTTTTTTACCTGACTTGATTTTTCCAAGACGTAGGTCCCACAGCTTCTTTGGGCACTCTGCTGCAATTCTTAACAACTCTTTTTGTTCCTAATATCCAAGCTGAGCCTCCCAGTCTGTGGCCATTGCCCCTTCTTATGCCACCTGGCACCAGCGTGAGCTGGGTGCTGTAATCTCTGCAGCATTACTGCAGGCTTTGTGTGTACGCAACACTCAGGTCGGTGCTTCAACATGAAAGGATCAAAGAGGCGAAAAGAAAAGAAACAATGCTCCGCCTGGCACGGCACTGCCTCTTTCCATCTCATTCAGAAACAACTGATTTGTGTTTCAAAATAATTTCTTTAGAAGAGGTAAGTGCAGACTACCACACCATACTCCGGCAATTAAATTATGTCAATCCGGAGCATTGTAATGCCTCCTCTGTCTGCAAGAGAAGGGTTTTGGCACGATATCTGAGCTCGATGTTTTTTGGAAGGGTTTCGCCACGGCTTATGTTACACCTTGAAAATATTCACGGCAGTCTGCACAGAAGAAAAGGTACCTGCTTAAGGAATTAGCGATGTGTTTGGCTTCCAAGTCAGCGATCCTTGAGTGGGAGCTGGGATTGTTTTCCTCTGGATTACAAACCTTTACGCTGATTGACTTCGGCAGAGTCTTTTGCTCTGCAGTTGCCTTTAAAGCCCCAAAGCAGCACCATGAGAAGACAGCATTAAGAAAATTGCAGATAATGGTGGGTGCGATAACCAAGGAGACACCAGGGCAGAATCTGCTGTTCACCACACCACCCTTGGAGAAGCAAAACCTTGTGGTGGCTTTGTTGAAAGCCTTGGGGTGATGTTGGTAGGTGTCACTCAAGGCACGGGTTGGTTAGGGTTCACGAGCAGACGGGATAGCTGGGATTTGGCATGGCACCTCTTTGTAAGCCCGTTGCGTTTGAGCTGTGCTGAAACCAGAGCTGACTGACAGCTGAATATAGGAAAGTCATGAAAAAAAAACTTTTGTGATACGAGTGGCTGTCATGGGAAATGCTTTTTTTCAAAAAAAAATTATCTTTTACTTAAGTCTCTGCTGTTGTTAAAGGAGGGGAGCCTTTGAGTGTGGAGCAAAGCTTAGTGTGTTTGCACAGCGTCAGCTTTTCATGCCAGAAGTTCTTAGAAATTGGCACCCAGCAGCCTGGCACCTCCCTGGCTTCAGGAGCACCTTTCCTGAAGACTTCTTTTTCTCTTTTTTTTAACCTTTGCAGCTTGTACAGATCATTATAAACACGACCCATTTGGAAAAATCGTGCAAGTTCCTAGAGGAATTCATAACCAATATCACCAACGTACTTCCAGAGACTGTCCACACTACGAAACTTTATGGGACCACGACTTTTAAGGTGAGAACGCCAGTAAATGGCTCCTCTGGGGAGCTGCTGTTGGTTTTTGGGTTCAGAGGATCTGTTTTCAAACCGGGTGTGTGGATGCCTGGACGGAGGGAGCTGAGCTGAGCTGAAAGGTAATTTTGGCATACCCTGGGAACTGTGTGCCATCAGACGAGCTTTTTGGGCTTGTCCTTCAGAGCAGCTCTACGCTTTGCTTCTGTCGAGATCGGGAGCCTTTGTAGCCCTAATTTACAGGCTGTGACTGCAACACTTATTATCTGCAGGATTAAGCAGCTTTTAAACAAAAGCCTGATTTTTTTTTTAAATGAACTTCGTTTTGCTGTTTGATCTCCATACAGCGTTGCATACATCTGGCCATGAACACAAGCTTTCTCCTTTCACCCAAGAGAATAGATCTTCAGAAATTAAATTTTTGCCTCTTTCCATCTTTTAGTGTTGTTAAATACTAAAAGGAGTGGAAATGCTAAAACTCAGGTCCGGAAGAAAGTGCTGGAATTTCTCAGTCTTTAAATCTTTAAATCCTAACCCCAGAGGATCCTCCTCAGATACTTCACATGAAGTCCTAAGACTGTAACTGGTCATTGTGGGGCATCTGCATTGTGCCCAGTGCCCAGAGAGCAGGAGATGGGATCAGTGCCAAGGACACCAGCAATGGCAGGGAATTGATTAGGTGAGGTTTGCCCTTGGGATAACTCAGCAGGAGGTGAAAGCCCCACGACCCCAGGGAATTCCCTGCCTCATCCCATCCAGCAGCATCTTTTCCTACTTGACCTGAGGATGACTTTTCCTATCCTTGTTCTGGCAGGGAAGCTCTGGGCTTCCAGAAGATCTGGCAGCACAAGTCCCACCAACACAAGCTATCCCGAGGCTGTTGCAACCATGTAGTTCCCTCCAGACCCTGTCCTGTGCTACTTTAGGGCTAAGTTTCGGGCCAGTGCATCCTGTAGCTCATGGAGCACCTGTGCAGAGGCATGGTATGGAGTCTCCATCCCATACAATATCACCTTCTTCCACAGGATGCCCGCCACGCTGCTGAGGAAGAGATTTACACCAACCTGAACCAGAAGATTGACCAGTTCTTGCAGCTGGCAGATTACGACTGGATGGCCATGGAGCCGGGCAGCAAGGCCAGTGACTACCTGGTCGACCTCATTGGCTTTCTGCGCAGCACGTTTGCCGTGTTCACGCACCTCCCGGTAAGCAAACCCCTCAATTTGCTTTCTTTTTCTATCCAAGGAGCACACGGACACCTGACGGTGCTGCTGAAAGTGATGGTTGCTCAAGCCTCATGGAGTGAGATGGAAATGGGGCCTTATGCTGGCTCTGTCTGACAAAGTGTCAAGTGTTACGAAATAGCAGATCTATTTTTAAAGTGAGCTATTTCATGTGTTAGCAGAAGGCAGGCTTTGGTGAGAGTCTCCCCAAATATTTCTGATTATTTGTGAATCTACTTACGTGAGAATGAGGGAAAGAAACCTCCCAGTCCACCAGCAGAGGTAGGATCACAACTCACTCCCACCTACATTTTAGATACGTTAACTTTCAGCTTAACAGACATTCCACGATTATTTTGAGAGGTCCCAGCAGAAGCGTGTGCATGACTTGAGCTGCAGATACGTTTCCAACTGTTTGTCCAATGCCTTACATCAAAATATTGCTCTGCGTCGTAAGGCAGCATATGTTTCTTTCTTTTCTCTGCTGTCTAAAATATGCCTGTGTTTATGCTGTTACTGCGATCAAAAATGTCTTTTATGTTGTGTTTTTTTTGCACTTGGCTGAGTAGTGTCCCCTTGAGTAGGAAAAATGTAACCATCAGGGAGTTCATTTTTGCTCAGACAGCTTTTTTTGCTTTTAAACAAGATTTGTTCTGAGCTGTCTGGATATATACTTAGGAGCCTCTTCAATCAGCAGGTATGTTGAAATAGCAAATCTTCTGAACACTGTATTTGTCCTAAAAGCAATTTCACGTCTTTCTTCTTCACTGGCCTGCTATTTATTTGTTGTTACTGGGTGCCCAGGATTATAGAGTAATGGCACACAGCGTGGGCACCTGTTTATTGGCTTGGCTATGAACGGGAAGAGAAGGCTGATAATACACAAGGACACTTCTTAGCTTCGTTCTGCTGGTTTGTGTCTCGGTGATTGCACCACTGGAAGGGATGTTTAAGCCCTCCAGAGCTGTTCCAGGAGGTGTCACAGCCCCAAAACTTCAGCAGTACCTTGCAGACTTGCACATAGTTCATGTCCTTGGTCTTCTCCATCATGGCAGCAAGATTCGGTAGCTGATGGAAACGAGCTCTGCTTAAAAGTGGTTAGAGAAGCCACCAAAAGAGAAATGAAAGCGGCTTTCCCAGGGTAGCCACTTTTTGGGTTACTTACACAAGCAAATAATGGAAATCCTGGAGGCAGCCAAACAGCCCTGCTGCAGGCAGCAGCTTTTACCTGCTCCATCCTTCCCCTGCAGAGAGGTGAAGAAAAAAGCCCGCTGATGTTTTTTTTTTTGTCCCCCAATGCAGAACAATTTGGGGAGGGTCAGCTCCCAGCACCGCAGCGTGGCTGACGGGAGGGATGAGGATAGGGAGAGGAGCCCGCGATGATTTATGAGACGGGCCTGGAGTGATTTATCTTCCTTAAACATTAACGTTTCCATTCTGAACTCATCAAAATTGTTTCGGAGACCGGGAGGGCAGCAAATCAGCCGGGATGGCTCCAAGCAGCCTTTCTGTTCCGCAGCTGCACCGAAAGCACCCAGTGGGTGAGGAGGCTGCTGGCCACGGTGGAGGAGCCAGGTAACGTGCTGGGGCTGCTCAGATGCTCTCCTCGGAGCATCGCACAGCACTGAGCCTGCCTCCAGCCCTCAGACAGGGCAGGCAGCTTAATCAGAGCCTGAGGTCTAATTTGTGAAGCTGTAGATCAGGGTTAAACGGCTGCTAGGAGAGAGAGGTCTGGGATTTGGGATATTTTGGGGTTCCTGCCTTGAGAGGAGCGTTACGGAGACGAATCCCTTGCACTTTGCTGGCAGGTCCTTGGTGAGTCAGGAAGAACCAAAGGCTGGTGGCAAGGTACCCAGCTCCCTCGGTGATCCCTTCTCGTGAGGCTCAGGAGCCTTTTCCCAGCAACTTCTTTAGAAGCACTTTAAAACCTGAGTGCATTTCGGAGTGATTTGTAGGGGACGAGGCGTGGGAAAGCCCCCGTCTGTCTACAAGAACAGAAAAATGAAGGCGATGTTTGTGAAAGCACCGAGTGTACGGGATGTGCTTCCTCTGGGGAAGGAAGGAAGGAGTGAGAGGGCTTGGAGAGGGAAAGGAAGCATCTCCAGAAAGCACGGATTGTCAGTCCTTGTGGGACGGCCAGTGGCAAGGTAGGGCCTTTAATCTACTGCTGACCTACATCCAGCCCCAAATGCACCACAACATTACAACCTAAAGGAGCTGCTGTCCTGTTTGAGGAGTTTGCAGCCTGTTCCTGCTATAAAATACGGGATTTCCACACTTGGGTAGCTTACAGGGAGAGGGAAGGGACTGCTCTGTCTGTCCCTGGGGAGTGGAGCATCTTCTCATTCCTGGAAGTGGTCTGTGCTCAACGCCTGCCCCTCTGATCCCTTGGCTTCTGCTGCTTTGGGTGCCTTCGTGCTCCGAATTTCTGCCATTAACCAAATCGAAGAGCTCCCTGCTGGCGGGTGACCTTGCGGTAGGTTTTTAGGAGGAGAGCGGCAGGCTGAGGAGCTGACTAAGTGGCAGGAGGCGAGCTGCTCGGCGGCCCTTTGTCACGACAGTAATTACCCCGAAAACAAAACCCTTCACCTGCTGATCAAAGCAACTCGGCCTGGGCATGTCGGCGGTTCCCCGTGCTAAAATTACAGCAACAAAAACCTCTGTCCTGTAATATAACAGAGCCGAAAGCCCTGATCCTGCAAAAATGCAGGCGGTTGCTTAACTTGACGTGTGAGTAATCCCATTGTGTTGGCCGGGGCTGCTCGTGGGCAGGAAACCTCCCCGGGGTCAAGGCTCGGAGAGCGCAGCGGGGCCCAGCAAACGGCCTTGGAGGGTCCGGCTGTGCCCGGGCAGCTTTTTGGAGAGGCTCGGGGAGAGGAGAGGAGGGGAGGCGAGGTGCTGAGCGAGCAAAAAGCTCCGGCTGTGTCCCTTGGGGGGTACAGGACCGAATCCTTCCTGGATTTATTGCGGGGAGGGGTGAACACCCCTGGCTAAAGCTGCTCCTGGCTCGTGGAGTGGCACCGAGCATCCCCTCCTCCTTGAGTGTCCAGGCAGGAGGTGCAAATCCTAATTTTTTCCCCTTAGAGCATCGGAGGAGCTGATTTTTTTCCCTTCCAGCTGCAGGGAAGAAGCGTTTTCAACATCTCCTTCTTCTTGCCCGTGCCGGGGGGGCGGCCGTCGTTCCCAAAACCAGCAGAAAATGCCTCAGCCTGGGAGTCCCCAGAATCTTTTGGCTTTTTTTGCAGCTTCGCTTGGGGACGGCCAGCCCCGGGGAAGGGGGGTGAAAAGTTCATGGTGAAGTTAACGGGGCTTTGGTGCATGCTCGGGCTTTTCATGGTGGTTTAGAGCCACAATTCGAAAATGCTCCGCTAAGTGCCCCGAATGTCTCAAAGCAAATAACATGCTGCTGGAAATAAAAGCAGAATTAACATTTGGCTTCGAGGCTGCCCTCTTCCTGCGTTAACCAGCGAGGGTTGGTTACGGCCGCCGCCGCTCTGCTTATTAATATGGGATGCTCAGGCCTCCTTTAAAAGAAAATATCTTTTTTTTTTCCCCCCCTTAATGTTAAAAAAAACCATTTTGCTGGTTTTTCAGAGGGCCGCGGCCTCCAAAAATGAACATTTTCGGCATCGCACTTTTAAAAAAAGAATGACTGAAAAAGCCTTTTGTCTCTGATGGCTGATTGTTGTTTTTATTTCTTGTTAGACAAGTTAATGTAAATCGCATTGACAGGGCTACTCCAAACACACTGATTTGTTGACATTAAGCTTTTCAAAGATGGAGGGTTGTGTCAACACCTACAGTGAACTGTCAGGTTAACAAAGCAAGGATGTTTTCCTGGGGGAGGGGAGCGGGGCAGGGGGGAAGGGGTGTGTTTTGTTTTTATTTTAAGTTTCCTTTAATCCTCTGTTAGTCTTGTATCTTGATAACCTCCTTTGGAAGGTAATCAGGGCAGGTCAAGAGGTGATGGTGACCCGGGAAGGGGAAGCAATCTTTCAGCGATCGAACAAACTCCAACCTCCGCCGGCCCGAGCAGTTCAGCGGGAACTCTCTGCGGAGGGTTTTTTTTTTTTTTTTTTTCCTCTTTTTTCCCCCCCTTTGTGCTTATTTTTGCCAGATGGCAGGCACAGATTTCAGCTGGAACTGCGCAAACGCTGTGGACGCTCCGCCTGGAACATTTTGCCTTATTCACCATATTGGCATCTCCTCCCGGTTGCGCATAAATACGCTGGCCCCAGCGGGTTTTGCATTGGTGGAAAAAGCTTTAAAAGTGTTTATTTTCTTTTTAAAGAGAACAGTTACCTATGTTTTTCTTTTAAAAGCCAAATCCTGCGTAATATGTGAAAGGGCAAAGACGTGCATGGAGGTAAAAACGCACCGCAAGCCCGAGCTCCTGTACCAGCCTTGACCACACGGGGAGAGAGGGTCATTTATTTCACGGAGTGGAAAATAACTGTCAGGAAAACGTGGTACGAGCACCAAAGACACGTTCTGTAGGTCTGCACGAATCCAGCCTGTGCTCAGACAACACCCCCGTGCCCTTGGAGGAGCTGAGCGAGTTGCGCAGACATCTGTGGACACTGGGGTTGGAGGTGTGCCCGTGGGCATCCCTCGTGCCCATTTTACAGGTGGCAAAGCCGAGGCAGGGGGCTGGTGGCTTGCCCCAGGTGGCACGGCGCTTTTAATATCAGGGCCAGCAGCAAAAGTGGCACTCGGGGCACTTGGTGACTCCTTCCTGCCGCAGCTTGTGCCTCGGTCGGAGCGGTGAGGGGTTGGAGACGCCCGGTGGGTGTGCACCTCGCTGCCTGGCTCGCTGTTGCTTTGCTCTCTTCTGCACTTGACCTAAATTCCCTGTGTTGTCCTCTGTAGGGGGATGTAGATGTCCACTCTACAATGTCGGTGAGTACACGGCGCTGTGTCGGGCGCGTGCCGGCTGCTCTGCTCGCACCTCCAGCGTTAGAGGGTGAGTTGAACCAGAAGAGGTCGTGGCTCTCGAAAGGGAGGAAAGGCAAATACGAACTTTGGGGGGAAGTTTGTCCCTTCCTCTGCTGCCCACGCAGGTTTTCTTTCGGTTTCTGAGATAAAGCAGTAGAACAAATAGGCTGGGATAGCAGATTTCCTTGCAGACAGGTCGCACACAAGCGTGCCGTTGCAGTAGCATTGATCAATCGCTGCTTTTAGGACCACGTCCCATTTAACTACCTCCTTTTATCCCCCATGCATCCCTAAATGTGCGAGGAATTAGGGGCAGTGCCTGCTATTAGGGAAAGCACGATGGGATTTGCAACCTCTACTTGAAAGAGAAAAGACCTTTGTAAATCCCCCCCGTGCGCCCTGGGTTCTGTTCAGCATATATCTCCCTTTCGAGCTGACAGCCTCTGTTGCCCCCAGGGGGATTTTCCTCCTGGTCTAAGTGCTCGGACCCGATGCTGGGACTGCTAAACCTTCCCTCTGGCACTATTGTTCGAATATTATTTTCCCGGAGAGCAGCGTGGGCTCTTGGACGCTGCTATCGCCCCGTTTGGATTAGGGCAATTAGCACAAAAGACAGCCGAGCAGACCTTTCGGACCTGCCTTCTGGTTCAACGAACGCCTCTGATTGGTGTCGTTTCTGCTTGGTTCGTGTGCGGGAGGAAAGCTCAGGCGTTTTTTTTCCGCGGGGTAGATGGCAAAGTGCTCTCGAGCTGCCGTGTTGTGCCTGTTCCCGTGTCCGCCAGCCATGGCACGTGCCCACGAGCGCCTCGTGCTCGTCGACACGAGGCGGCTCGCTGCAGTTGTGTGCTGTGAGACCCGACCTGTGCTGTGGTGGAGCTCCCAGCTTCTGCTTCTGCGCCTCCAAGCCCTGCTCTTTGCTCGAGCTGCCTGCCGGGCTGCCGCGGCGGTGTCGGCGTGTCGCGGCGCGGTTGGGTGCGTGCGCCCCTTGTCCTGGAAACCGAGCATGGCCGAGCCTCGAGTCCTTGTGGGCTGCGGGCACCTGGGGGGCTCTTGAGTCGGCATCGAGGTCTCAAATCAATGCCAATTTCTGGAAAGAAGGAGCCTGCTGAAAGCAAGCCGAGGCCAGATGCCACCAAAGCTGCGACTTGGATCCTGGCTCGCCGGGCACGGATGCGTCGTGCTCGCTGGCGGTATCCTGGTGTCCTGCTTTGGCAGGGGGCTGGGACCCAACAACCTCTTGAGGTCCCTTCCAACCCCTCCAATTCTGTGATTCTGTGATTCTGTGACCCCATCCCTCCGTGTCCACCAGTTTCCAGGGGCGATGCTGAGCGTCACCGTGTGCTGGTGGCCTTGGGGCGCACCGCAAGAGGGACGGATGCACAAAGTAGCGTTGCCTCTGGCTTCCCAAGACTTCCAACAATTTAGAAGCCAGATGTATTTATTTCTTTAATTGAATCCAGTGCCTAGACAGCTATGGAGTCAGCTTCCTATGGAGAGGGGTGCATTAGTTTCATTAAGGTAAATCAATGAAAAGTAATACCTGGAGGTCCCCTGGAAAGGGTCAGGAACGGAGTAATCCCTTTATATGGTGGGACTTTGCTGGCCTGCTCTGAGCTGGTTTTGTTTCTAACGGCAACAGATTCTAATTTTCCTTTTAACCCCTCTAATTTTTTGTTCTCCTGGTAGTTTGTATTAATTGGTGGAAATAAATCACCGATCCGCCTGTCTAGGAGAGATTTCAAAATAAAGATCTGCTCGCACCAAGTAGCAGCACAAAGAAGCAATTGTAGCAGCATTTAAAAAGTCCGGTGGGAAGCTGTTGTGGCTGATCCTAGAAGGGTCTTGGTGAAGTAGATACAGACAAAAACCAAATAATAATAAAAAAAAGTGATTTGCCTGGGATGCAGACATGGACAGGGCTGAGAGCAGTGTCCAAAATCCTCTGTGCGCTTCCTCTGCTCTCCAGAGATAATCCTACCCTCTTGAGGGGTTGCTGAGACCAATTTACCCTAAAGGTTGGGCAAAATGCCCTTAAAATTATCGTGCCCTGCTCGGGAGAAGACGAGGTTACGGCTGGAGCAGCACTGCTCGGCTCTGTGGTCCTGTGCTGCCTGCCTGGCTGTGGGCTGGTGGCTGCGAGTTACCTTCCTCCTCTTCTCAAGTGTCTCTGAAATCCTAAATATTTCCAAAAATGAAGGGCTCGAAACAAGAACCAAAGGTTGCTTTAAAGCAACGAGCAAAAGCGCTCAAATACGGTGGATTTAGCGTTGTTGGCTGGGGAGAAGGCTGACCTCTGATTAACCCAGGAGCGCTAGTTAACTAGGATCCGGGTAAGCCAAGTTATCTTGTAATTACATGGTTTCTTGTACGCTTTCAGCACTTTGAAAATTAATTGAAGCTAAAATGCCCAGTCCCATAAATCCTTTAAACCAGGGTGTGCACGCTTACCTAGGAATTGCTTCCCTTTGTGTAGTCACCTTGGCGTGTTTGGCTTTGATTTTTATTTTACAAACTTAGATTTATAAAGCTATTTTATGCTTACTTTTGCGTGCACACACATACACAAAGACTCAGATGTGTGGTACGGGGAATTTGGCAGTCGAAAATCCATCCTCGGCGGGAGGAATTCGAACACGCCTGCTGCTTCCTGCACCGGAGCCCAGCGCAGAGCTTCCAGCAACCCCAGCAGAAGTTAAAGTATGTTTTTTTCCCTTTAGGCTCAAATTTAAGTGAAACAATAGACTTTGCAATTACACGCTTTCCTCTGGTTTCATGCACTGGCAACCTGAAGTCTTGAAGACTCCTCTCAAGCAGAGAGGGTGCAGAGGAATGCTGATTTACGCCCATCTGCTGCAGAAGCCCCCAGGTGTCTTGCGTGGCCTCACCTCAGCAGCAGAACAACTGAAGGAGCCCAATCTCCTCATCACCTCTCCTCTGGGATCCCCGGGACTGAATTTGCCCGGAGAAATATCAGGAATTTGTGCGGAATATTTGGAGCTGAGCACAGCTGAGCGCTCGAGCAGGCTGGGGTTGGTGGCAATGGCACGCAGAGAGGCACCCACCATGCGTCCTGCAGCCCAGGTTAGGTATGGCACAAGAAAGGAAGCAAAGTGTTTATAAATACAGAACCTTCCGGGTTTCTCATGATTGCTCTGGTCTTCCTTCATCACATTTCATGAATGGCAATAAATAAGGAGAAGCTGGTGTGCTAATAAGAACCCCCAAACCAACCGCGAGTTACCAGTCATTTTTGCAGTCGGTCGACTTGGTCGACCCCATTCTTGGGTCGGTCACCGCTCCTCAATCATCTCCTCTGATGGCCCAGCTTGGAAACAAAAACCTCCCCAGTTGGGTTGGAAGTGGCGTGGTGTATTTTTTTTGTTGTTTTGAGCTCATCCTTTTTTTCCAGTCTGCTCAACATCTGGGGCTTAAGTCATGTAGGCGTTCCGCTTCCAGCAGGCAGCCGTACGTCACGGCAAGCACGCCGACCCCTCCGCTGGGCATCGCGGCGAGCGGGGATCTGCCCGGGCGTGGGGTCTGCATGGATCATGAGAAACCCTTCGTGCCAAGGACTCTGCGGCGAGGAGCAGCTCAGCCTGCTGTTCTCCAGGCCTCGAGATCTTTCACCTTTTATTTATAACACGACCGCTAGGAGTATATTGCGAAGACGAGGCAAGAGCACTCTCTCTTTTTAAGTCTTCCCGCTGCCGTAATTGGCAGATGCTTTGCCCTGATAAATCAGCAGAAACGAGCGTGGTTCTAGCTCTTCGTACGTTAGGGAGAAAATGCGAAAATCTGTGTTTAATCAACTTTTTGTTTCCAAAATGGCAGCTGCTTTGTATTTAATGGAAAATCAGACTCTTCCCAATGGAAAGAATGTTATTCCCAAAGCGAATACAAAAGAAAATAAAAGCCACAAAAGAGGAGGATGAAATATGTCATTTATTTTTTCTCGTTCGTTCCAGTTTTGCTCTCTGATAATTGTCGGGCCACGGCTCTGGTTTGTGTCAAGTAACTCAAAGTCTCACCCCGTGGACATGGGGACCAGGAGAGCCTCGCCGAGCGCTCGGAGGGCTGCGTGGCGCAAAGAGGACCGAGAAAAATTACGGCTACTTCTCGCGTGCATATAAAGAGACTCATTAAACGCAGGTTATTTATGGGTTTAAATTTGTTTATTTATGGGTTTAATTCCGCTGCGGAGGTGCCTCCGTCGTTGGGGCTTCATATTTTTCCTTGGCACCTCTTGGTGCGGGATCTCAGTGTCCTTTTGCGGAGGTGAAGGAGCCTTCCTTTGGGGAGCCTGTCCCCGTGGCTGCAGGGAGTTCATCTCATCTACAGCCCTGTTCCTTCTCGAGCCTGCTTGCAGCAGTGTTAAGGCTGAAACACATTAAAACATTAAAAAAAAATTAGTTTTTGGGGAGGTTGCCAAGCTGACACTGTGGCAAGCCGAAAGCCCCAGTTTTGTACGATGGAGTTTAGGGCTCCCTCCTGTCATGACATGGAGATAACTTCTGGAGGAAGGAGCAGTGATTTGAGCTGTCGTGACATGCTCTGTCCGTAAATTTTGGGTTTTGCTGGAGTTTTTCTAGCTGCTTCCATGCTGAGCTCTCCATCTCCCCGCCTTGTGGTGCCGTTTCTCATCGCAGCAAGGCCAGGTGGGCGTTTGCAGCGCGGCACGTAGCATGACGGAGCATTCAGAAAGCAGGTAGAAGAGGTAAATGTGACTTAATAATCTGTAATTGTTTAAAAAAGAGGGTCACGGAAAGCAGGAGGCAGGTTTGGAGCAGGAGCTTGTTGCCACAGGGGGGTTCCACCAACCCACTGGGAGAACTCGGAGCAGATCCATACGCAAATACTGAGAGCATCTACAGGTAAACCAAGTAGGCTGATGAGTTCAAAGCACGTAATTACTGGCTTTTCTCGAAGCTCGATGCCATCATGTGTCAGTTTTCCCACCCGTGTGC